GCTGAATTAGCCAGACACAGGCTCTTCTGCTTCCATCCTACGCCTTGGAGCAGAGGTGTGGAGTGGCTTTAGCATTCCCTGACCTCTTCCACCCTAGAGAGGGGAATGTGGCCTTCTCTGAGCCCAGAGGCAGCCCGAAGGAGGGCAGGTGAGTGCTGAAAGGGATGTTTTGTGGGGTACAACAACAGGACTGAGGAAGGTGGCGGATTAGTAGAAGCTGCAGGAGTTTGTGGAAGCAGGAGTAAGACCTGTGAGGATGTGGGGCCTGTTGTCTTTCAAGTCCCTTGATTAATGACATTGATTAAACTGGTTTGTTGTGCATTTAGGTTTGGTTTGGGGAGTTGATGGAAAATCCTCCACATATTCCAGATCTAGTGTCCTAGCTATTTTTACCTCAATTGAGTATCTTCTTTAATTTTTTAATGATGTAATAACTTACTAGCTTACGTTTTTGTAATGTGTGAGCGTAATGTAGTGTGCTGGGGAAGAGCAGCAGAGAGATAAAGATTATGCAGTTATTATGGTCTTTGTTTTTTATTACTTCTTCTCTAAAAAGCTACAGAATTGAAAAATGCCCTGGTAAAGTGGGTTAAAATGGAGAGAATTTTCATCTGTCCTCCCACGAGGGCATTAGCAGCCTTGGTTTTGCTGCATGAATGCTGTATTTCAAAATCAGTGTCAGTGTTTCTGAGGATAAGTGAGGAGATGATTTAGCACATTATCCCCTTTGCAACTTGCTGTGATTGCATCTTTCCTTTTGGCATTCCCCAAAATAGTTCTTCCAGGCAAACATTATAATTTTTATACTAACTAGCGCACAACAGTGAATTTCTTGCTCCCACCTGTTCTTTCTGCGTCTGGCAAGAAGATTGGGTGTCTGTCCCTTTTGAAAGGTATCTGCAAAGCCAAAATGAAATGCCTCTGCTACTCACTTGGAAGCAAATGCAGTTTAACACTACATGCAGCATCTTTGTTGATATTGGGGGGGAAGTGGTGCCAAAATGACTAGGACAGCATTCCCGAAGCTGAGTAGTACTCAGAATCCTGATAGGGAAAGGTGAGAGCCCTTCATCCCAGTTGGCGCAGCAATTAAGTGAGGCAGTTACAGTGTCTTTCACTTCTTTCTTGGTCATGATGAAATGCTGTGATGTAACTCTAGTTATTTGTTGTCTCTTGAAAATAAATTCAAAAAATCATGCTCTTGGTGGCAGCCATGTGACAGCATGTTCGTGTGTGTTATTTGCATATGTTAAAAGAGGATTACGGTTTTGGTTTTGCTGTCTGAGCCGTCAGAGCCTGAGGCTCTGGCTGGGAAGCACACTGGATGGCATGAGGCTCTTGGGATTGCCAAGGGAGCCAGAATTAAGCTCTGGAACTTGGGGTTTATAGCTGGTGTAAAGTGTCGGCCTGTGCAGTGTCGCTGCTGGAAAATGACTGGTAAATCTGGACTGGGCTGGTTTAGCAAAAATGCTGTGGGGAGTCCCTCAGGCCTGCAGAGAAACCATTCATGTTTAATGCACTTTTTCCTGTCATACAGTTAAACTGAAGTGCTTAAATGCCTCACAGTGATGAAAGCCTGCTGTGGAGCTGTTAAGGTTCAGTTTTGAAAGAAAGAGAAATAATTTGGCTACGTAAGAAATATTTTTTTCACTGCAGCAAATATCTAATATGGAGAACATTTATGCTGTCATGGATTCTTCTCTGAACCATCCAGAAATGCGACAGATGCTTTGCCAGGAAGAGCTTTATCCCTCTGAAGTTTACTGGGAATTTTTTTTGTTATCATGTTGGTGGGAATAAATAAAGGAGTATACTTAAATAAATAAACTGATCCTAAGTACATGAAAATAACCCAGAGAGTAAAACTTTAACTTCAGTTGTATTGGGTGATACATTATGAAATATTAGCTGTTTGTATTATGGTAGTCTGAAGTTGGTTTCTGTTTGCATTACTGAAGTATCCAGAAGCTGTCTGCTGGTTAGAAGACTTGAGTGAGGGTTATTTTGTTAATCTTGCTGCTGTACACTATATCCTACCTGCCTGAAGGAAGAGAAGAGTTCAGTCAAGTTTGCCTTGGCATTCCAAACTGAATTCTTAGTTCTCTCTTTGGGCCATAATATGACAGTAGAACAAATAATAGCTGCTATTTTATTCAGAGCTTTGGTTTAATAGATCTAAAAGCAAATTGATATTTTTCCTTGGGTCTTTTAAGTTGTCCTGTGTCTCTGCTACAGATTCTAAGCTGTATATTCATTATTTCCATAGCCTGATTGTAGTTGTTATTTCTGCCCTCTCTGGACTCACCACAGGCATTTGGCACTGGGAATAGGCAAGGGGAAGTGAAGAGTGTTGCGAGTAGCACCAAAGCAGGAGTATTTTTTTTTCACCTTATGTTAAATTTAGTCATTGCTTCTACACTGACTTCTAACAATGATTATGGTTTGCATGTGTTGATTAAACATTTAACTCTTGTGAGAAAGGGACACCCAGAAGTGTAGAGTGAGAATCAGTGCAGTTGCTGTCTTGACTTAATATATAACCAGCATGTGTATTTCTTATACTTAATTTCCATGTAGTTTTTATTTAAATAATATATCTGCAAAGCCTTTTGGCTTCATCCTTATAGTGTAATTTAACGCTTTGATGTTGTCTGTCTCTTTAGGGATGATTCTGTCCCAGAGGATAATATTTGGAGGGGTATCCTCTCTGTGATTTTCTTCTTTCTAATCATCAGTGTTCTAGCTTTTCCTAATGGTGAGTAAGGTTTCTACTTCACTTTTTTTACTATGTGAATTTCTCTTCGTTGCCACTATATTTATTTTTATTTAAATGTTAATTTTAAGTGGTTTTTTACTTTACTTTTTTCAAATTCCTTTATGTTAAGGAACAGCCTAAAAATGGGTTGCAATCATACTGAGCAGAGATAACAGTAAAATGTCTTATTTATAGCTTGTCTGTATTTAACAAGGAAGTCAAGTTCTCAGAATCAGTGTCCTATTTGCAGATGTGCAGTTGCAGCTCAGATTGCTAAGTAATGGTGTCGACAGATCCTTAAAGGTTTTAAAGGAGTCTGCCTTAGTGTGTTTTAACAGAGGTGTCATTCTGCAAAATCTCAGAGGTATGGCACCATACATCAAGAACTTACTAGAAGCCTGGTGATAGCTAGAAATGGTCTAAGTGACATTATTACAGTGTAAAACCACAGTTGCTCAGTACAAGGTTAAGTTGGACAAAAGTTTGGGGAATTACATGAGGAGCAGAAATTGCAAAAAGGTAAAAAAGTTTGTGTGTCACAATTCCGTGGAGAAAATGCTTCTTTCTGGGTTGGGGGGGGGGATTCTTTGTTTTGGTTTTTGTTTGTTTGTTTGGGGGGTTTGATTTTTACTTATGGCTGTCAGCAAAAGCATGATTCTTGGGTTGAGTCTCAACTGCCTCAGGATTGGCAGTGTTCAGGATAAAACAGTGATTGCACTCCACGCAGCTTTGTACTTCAGACTTGGGATGTGTTTTTCCCATAAGTTAAAACAAAAATCCTTAATCCACACTTTTCACAAAGTGCTCCCTGAAAAGACGAATGTCAGAGAAAAATGAGCTTTATGCATACAGTACTGAAAGAGTGGTCCACAGTGTGTGCTGATGATATTTGTTCAGCCACTTCTTGCTACCTAAAGGTATGATGCATGTTTAGTGATTTTCCAGTTTCACCTGACTGACTTACCTTCTCTGCTCTTCACATTACCTGAGAGGTTTTTAATCTAATAAACCACTTTGATCACTGGCTCTAAAGCAAATAATGTTAGCACTGGTGAAGAGCATAGGTATCTTACTTCTTGTCGGGTATAGATGGTGCTCAGTTTGGAGGCTTCAGGAGGCTCGTTTGGTCACATTTCATGTAAGTCTGAAGGCTAAGCACCATATTTCTTTGTTAACACACAGAAATTTGTATTTGATGACTTCATTGGGAGCAAGCTCTGTGTGACCTATAGTCAAGAAACCAGGTGAGGAGGTCCTCAGGTGACATTGAAAGTGTGGTGTTTGCTGAACAAACAGCATCCTGCTGTTCTGGAAATAACTCCACAAAAATAGGGGAAAATTTTGTCTGCACCCTGAAATCAGCTGTTACATTTCTTTTTTTAAACATAGAGCCTAAACTTTCAGATATATTACGTCTTTTGACAGAGAAGTGATGTGTGTTCGTATGAGATATACTCAAAAGTAAATTTTGTAGTTCTTATTGACTGTCTTTTAGTAAGCTTTTTGTTTACTGTCCACAGGACCCTTTACACGTCCTCACCCTGCAATATGGAGGATGGTTTTTGGTAAGTTTGTTGTGTTTCTGGCTTTTCCATTGCTTCTGCAGGAACTGCTGTTTTAACTTTCTGATGAATGGAATTGTCATGAACCATAATTGTGCGTCAAACTTGTGTGAATGTCACTTCCCTCCTACTTCTGAGCAGTTGCTTTTAATCTATTCTTAGTTATGGCTGGGGAATGTAATTGTACTTACTCTGTCAGGATGGTGTAAATTAAATCATCGAACGAAGATCATTCATTCTGATACTCTGTTTTAATCCTGTTTTGTATTTGTGCTTCCCCCACACCTTTGCTACTGCCATCTCTTCCAACCCCAAAATGGTATGGGATTTTTTATAATTATTGCAAATACTATCTGCCTTGTAAATCCAGTTGAGTAGGCTGCTACTTTTCATTATTGACAATGTATGCTATTACTTTATAGTTATTAAATCGTATCATTGTATCGCTGACCATCCTTTATTAATATTCTAAATATGCATATATTTATGTTCTTATAATTTCATTAAAAGTACCTGTAAATATCAGTTGCATTCATAGTTTGGAAAATCATTTTATTAACTACAGAGCTAAAAAAGTGAAATTCTGTTCCTTAAACATCTGATTATACAGCAAACACATAAGGAACTTTATTTTGAAATAATTCAGGGTTCACAGAGCATATCCTGGACTGCATGTTTGCAGAAAATTAGACACATTTGATTTAAAAGCTGATCTATTTCTTTTTAAGGGACTGAATGTTTCTCTCTCCTACCACCCTATATAGCTAAAAATAAGTAGCCTCCCAAAGTAGCTGATTACTCATCTGTTGACATTGAGAGGATACTGCTGATTAGATAGTGCTCCTTAAACACTCCTACTTCTTGTGAAGTTTGGGAAACACAGGTCCTGCTGCTCATTTCAGGATTTAGCAAATGTAAAGGAAAAGGTCATTCTCAATGTGAATACTGTCAGGGCTTGATCCCCTCTAATTTTGGGAAAAGACTGCACTCAAAATCAGGAGCTGCATTTTTCTCTGTGTAATTCTGCTTCTTCTGGCCTGGCTCATGTAGCAATGCTTCAGTTCTCAGACCTGTTCGGTAGATGAAAGGCAGGAGTAGTGTGTCCTCAGCATTTCAGGATGCACCCTTGCCTGCAGGCTGTGCTTCTTGTAGTAGTGTGACATCTGTTTACCTGATGTGTTTTTAGGAGGGACTGCAGAGGACTCTTTGTATACTTTCTGTTCATGTGTATACTTGCACAAAAGTTACTTTCTAGCATACACGGGGAATTATTAATGTGTGAGTTCTAGTTATAATTTAAAATACCTTTTTAGAATTTAATAGTTTATTTTGGATGACAGATGCTAAGTTTATTCACATTAATTTTTCTGCCTTCCATGGCATTGCTGCAGGATACAAGTTTGAGACTGCGGAAGTAGTGATTCTGTGCCTCTTCTAGATGTGGTCTTGGGTATCTGTGAACTTTTGAATACTGTAAAGATGTGCTCCCAACACCTAGGACTCAACTTGTAACAAGTATTTCTTTTAGGAAAAAAACCCCCGTATTCAGACATTGGGAGGAGAGGACTGGCACTCCCAAATGCGATAGTGTTTCATAGCTTATAATAGTGTGAAAATAAATAATAATCATATTTATCTTTAAAAGTTTTGAGCTGCAAATTTTTAAGATCTCAAAAGTAACTCAAACATGCATAAGTTTATAATTGTAGTTACTCTCTATTGCCAGCACAGCTCAGAACTGCCAGGTGGCATTATTAAATTGGTCTTTGCATTGAAATCTGCATATAGGCTTAGGGCCCTGCATTAGTAAGACCAAGAATACTTAAAGCAAAAAGGGCAGAGCTAATCCAATCATGGATCCTAATGTATCTCTTACTAAAGAGCTTCTGATCACAGCCTTGTACTACTCATGTCTAAACTGATTAGACTGATTTTGTTTTGATTAGGTTCATGCAGTGGACCATATATTGTATAACTTGTGATATGAAGGGCTGACTGCTAAGAGATTACCATCTGACTTGAGTCTCTTCAGCTTTTTTGCATGTAGCCACTGTATGTGGAAACTCGTCTGTGCAAACTGTCCATGTAGAGAGCAACAGTTTTAAAGCAGATTTTTGGACACTGTGTTCCAAGGAGTTTTATGAGTGAACATGATTTTAAAACTGAGTCTTTTTGCAGGTCTCAGTGTGCTGTATTTTCTGTTCCTGGTGTTCGTGCTCTTCCTTAACTTTGAGCAGGTAAAAGCAGTGATGTACTGGTTGGATCCTAATCTTCGATATGCCACAAGGGAAGCAGATATTATGGTATGTATCTGTGGCACTATTTGTTGTACATTTTGGCTCTTTTAGCATGTTTTACATGAATGGGAAGGGATAAATCTGAATTTGCTGGCACAAGCAGTGCAAGTTTGTGCCTATATACTTGACAGAGCCAATGAGCCTTTTGTGTCAACTACCATTTATTTACATTGAAATCAACTGGTAAAAAAACAGTCTTCTCGGTAATTTTTTTTCTAATGCAGATGCTCAGAGGCGTGTGCAGTTGGGAATGTGATATATGTTTGCAGTGGAGTGGCATTGGATTTAAGTGATGAATATGAGCCTGGATACTGAATGTAGACTTAGCAAGGTAGTATCTAAATGAAGCTTGTATGATGTGCAGATAAGGTGTTTTGGTGCCATGATGCTGCACTCAAAGAACTTTGGTCTGTTGCTCAGAGCTTACTATATGACTGGCACTCTATGGAGTATGTGAAAGTCCAGGTACAGCAACTGCAGAACTCTGCTGCCTTCCAGTCACTCAGCTGAGCACTGATACTGTTACCATTGGGAAATTACTTCCATAGACCATAATCTGGAGTGGCATGGAAAACCAGGCTTTGTTCTTCTGCCTGTTGAGCAGCTTGTGAAGAGTTTTCAATACAGAGAACATTCCCCTTCAGGCTGGGAACACTAACACAGGGAGCTGAGGTTGTAAAAAGAGGCCTAGGAGAAGTATGTGAGGTGTGTTGAGAGACAAGCAGAAGCGAGTGTGAGCTGTTGATCACAAAGCAGAGGAGGCTTATTGCATGGAGAGGCAAGAGTTGCCACTCCTTCTCTCCTCATTATCACATCAAATTACTGCTCATCACCTGATCAGTGTGCTCCCTTTCCCTTGGGGCTTGTGCACCTGCCCAACATGGTCACCTGTTACATAGTAGGTGCTCTTACAGGAGTTGTGCCTCTGGAGTAGGGAAATACACTGGTTGTCTTCTGCATATGCAAACTAGTGCACAGCACCTCATCAGCAGTGGATGCAAACTCTTGCCCTGTAGCACATAAGAGGGAATGGAAATCTTTACAGTGCAGTAAGCTTATGTTAGTTGATCGATAGTGAGGGCTGCATGCAGGCTCCTTAGCTGGAAAACTATGGTTGCTTCAGGTATTGTACCTCAGCTGATCAGCAGTACATGTTGTGCAACTCCAGCATGTGGAGTAGGGCCGTGACTTTTGGTTCTGCAGGAGATGTGTGGTGGTGGTGAGGCGTGGGCAGCCAGCTGTGAGGGTGGTGGGAGGACACATGGCTAAATAGAGCCTGAGCATGGGTGTTCACGGTGTTGCTGAGCAACAAAAGGGAACCGAGACAAGTAGTCTGTTGTTAAGTCAGATTCACCTGGCTCTCCTGTCATTTAAGTTAGAAATAAATAGATTCAAGTCAGGGGAGGACTAGTATTACTACTGGCACAGAACCACAGTACAGCAGATTCTCTGACTGTAGCAGTCAGTGGAAACTTACTCTGTACTACTTTGTAATCCTGATACTGTCACAGAAAGGTTGAGAAAATTTTTAAAGTGTGACTATAGTCACTTGGTCTCTTGCACAGGACTGGCAAAGTTAATTGGGTGTAAAATAAAGTTCAACACATGTCACTGTATGACTGGCAGAGCTGCAGCTGGAAAGATGAGATAGAAAGGGGAAAGCCCTAGCGGAAATAAAAGCAGAAGCCTTAGGAAAAAACTTACTTTGGAAGTAACCTGGTGTTCATTCATCATAGATATCATGGTGTGGCTAGAAGCTTGCACCTTCTGTGGTGCATTCTATGCTTTTCATGCTGGCAAGTGAGCCAGTTTCAGATCTCTTGGGTACATGCACTAAAGCTGTAGGTTTGCCATTCGTAGAGCAGGTGGTGCACCTTTCTCTGAATGACCAGCAGCACTGGCATGCACAAGAAGCAGTACCATGCTTTCACTTCATGAAGCAGCAGCTGAAAGGGTTACTTACTTACAGTTTCGTAGTGGGCCTTAACTACCTGCTGATAAAAACATTTGTGTGAAGCCAATGCATTCTTCTTTTTGTGGATACCAGGATTTAAATCCCTTTCTGTTTTCTCCTTTTCAACTTGGATCATGGTTCATATGTGCACGTTTAGCAATAATTCTGGCCTGAAAGAGAATCCTTCTTAGTTCAACAGCACTGAGCAGTGCTGTGTTGTCACCTGAAGGTGGCAATATATGTATTTTAGGAGGGCTGGAGAGCAAGGGGTTTTTTTAAAATGTGCTTTTCCTCTTGGGAATAGTTCAGTATGTGCCCAGCGATGAGATAGAACTCCCCAGATGCAGCCTCCTGTTGGCATACAGATTTTTTTTCTTGTTGGACAGTGATTTCTAGCACTTGCTGTACAACATTTTGAGAGAACACGTTTCCTTTGTTATTGGTGACTAGAATATTAATATCCTTAAGGAATCTACCACTCCTCTGGGACAAACAAGCAAATTCCCTTTGATTTTATTAAAGTTTTTTTTTAATTCAGCCCTGTGACTGAACTTTCTTAATGTGAGTGTGTTCTGGGAAATTGCTTTCATGAGGAAAATAAGACACAAAAGACATTGAAGTGAACACTGAGTCTGGTAACATTACATCACAAACTGGTGAGGATTAGCCACTGATGAGCCACATCTGACTACCAGACAACATGAAAATGGGGAAAGGTGGTTATTTCAAATCGAGACTCCAAAGAAAAGAGAAGAAAATGGCTATTTTGTGGAGTACTGTTTGCTGGTTTTGTTATTACTGATTTTATTTCTTTTGCTGTTCCTCTGTTACGTAAGAAATACATGCTTCTTCAGGCACCAGTGTCTATTCTGTCTCCCCTTAAAGCAGAGCTGTACTGTGATGGCACTGAGTCTTAATACTGTAAGTTTTCTGACAGAGTTTAGAAGGACAGGAAAGCAAAATAATCCTTACTTTAATGTCCTTATAATTTCAAGCTCATTACACTGAATAGAAAGATGTTTCTCCCATTCTAGTTTTTCTGAAGCTGTCTGTTGATTTTGTTGTTTGGTGGGGGTTTTTTTGTTTTGTTTTCTTGGGGGTTTTTGTTGGTTTTATTTTTTTTTTTAATTTTTTTCTTGACAGGAGTATGCTGTGAACTGTCATGTTATCACCTGGGAGAGAATCCTCAGCCACTTTGATATATTTGCTTTTGGGCATTTCTGGGGCTGGGCTATGAAGGCTTTGCTGATCCGTAGCTATGGACTATGCTGGACTATTAGCATTACCTGGGAGCTCACTGAGGTAGGCCACCCTGTTGTCTTCATTATAAGCAAATGCATGAGACTTTAATTGTTCTTGGGGGGAAGTGTGAATGTTACTAGAAGGATGACTGGATGACACACTAGTCCTCAGTACAGATTTATATTTTAAGCCTTATAAACCAGATGCTGAGTAATTGATGCAGTTGAATTAGTAGACAACAGCGAGCTGGATTTTAGGTAAGTGACTTACTACTGCTTGAATAGGAGGGAAGTCTAGGCCAGTTGGTGCCATTCATAATTTATTTTTCTGCTGTTATGGGAGTCATGCTACTTTTGCTACTTCAGATATTTCCTGATTCAGAGCATCTGTTCTCCTTTTTCACCTTGCAATGTCTGTGATCTACTGTCATCATCCCCTTGTGCCACATACAACAGTGTTATATGTTGCATATAGTTGTGTGTAATGTGTAGTGAAATGGAGTTGAGGGATCCCCTTGGAAGAGGTGAGGACCCACCTAAAGTCTATATGGAATGGTAGCTGTGTAGTTTTCTGTCATGAGGCCTGAGTGCACAGCCATTCTTTCATTAAATTATACTCTACAAGCTTAGTTTATTCATGTTCACTGCCATAAAAATGTGTTGTTTTGTCTTTATTTACTAGACTTAGAGCTAAGCTAGTTCACATGCAGTGTAATCCCCTGCACCAAGGTTGTAGGACCAGTGACTAATTTTTGTTATCTAGCTTTACCACAGTTCTCCCAACATTTGACTGTTGGCGCTTTCAAATCCTATTTTGGATAAAAAATATGCAGATATTTTTCTTGGTTCAGTCAAATGAGTATTGCTTGGACTTCTGATCCTTATTGTTAGATCTGTTTTAAGAATTCAAGCTGATTAATTACTACTGTAAACATTTTTGTTTGCATATAATGTAGAGTTTGATGAGTGGAATATATATCATCTAAAACCCAGGGGTGTATTTCTATAAAAATTAGTTTAATTTAATTATATTCTTCGGACAATTCAGAGGGGAGAAAAAATCCAGTTTTTATCAGCTTTTGAACAGCATAGTCCAACCTGTCACTCTTGAAATATCGAGTGTAGATGTAAACACCTGAATTTAATATTTAAAATCAGTTTTCTGTAAATCTTGCTGTCTTGAGAATGATTGTCTCATCTGACAAAGCATTTGCAGTTCAGAAACATAGGGATTTATTTGTCTAAAGTTAAGCTTCTGGGTTTGAAAGGAGTTCCTCTACAAAACATGTTTTTGTTCTGTGGCATTGAAGGATATGCTGTTTTCTAAGTGATTTTGAAACTGCTTAAGATGGGATTTCACAAGTATCCATCCACAAAACCCAATTTTGCTAGTTCATGTACTAATATTTTCCCTCTGGAAAAGAATATATTTGGATTTGTTTCACTCATACTCTTACCATTACACAACCATTGTCTTCAACTTGACACCGCATGGGGTGTCTAGTATTCCTCTTATTGAAAGGCAGATTATTGGCACAGACAATGTGTTGGATAAGTTTCAACATAGAGAGAGTAAATCTCTCTATCTGAACTGTTGTAAATGCTCAAATGGATTTTTGATGCATTAGATAATTCAGTAGAATCATTAGAAACCTACAGAAGTTATCAGGGCAGTTACATAGGGATCTAACTGCATCTCGTATTAGGATTAATGGATTTCAGCTGGCCCCCTGGTCTGAAGTGGGAAACTTGGCTCGTGCTCTGTATTATTGGGCTGTAGTTGGGATGCTGGCAGACCTTGGTGTCTCATTCTGAGAAAGCATGTAGCACCTTAGAGAGGGTCTGTCTTACACCTGTGCTTTGGCTTTTGCTGCTTTATTGTCTCTTAACTTCTGGTGTCTTTATCTGGATCATTGCAGACTGAGATTTGTAGGCTATTGTCCCTTTCAGGTTAAATTAAAAACATGAAAGGAAAACTTTGGCAGGATAATGAACAGCATTGCATTGCTTGGGTCCTGAAGGGAAATTCAAATTTTATTTTCTACAGGCTGAAATTCCCATAGCCTTGTCAAAGAAAACAAGTGACTTTGATACACTTGATACACTCATGCAAGAATATTCAAAGGAGCTGTCATTGCCAGTATTAGTCCCTGTAATGTACTATAAATGGACCAGTATTCTTTCTGTCTGTATACTGAAAACATTCTTCTTGTTCCTTTTTCCACATCTGAATTTTTCAATACTTTATTTGTATATCTGTTAACTAAAGATACTTTATTACAAAATCATACCAATAATCCACAGTGTATGTACATGAACTGACAAAATTTGTGCTGGTTTTGTGCAATTCTTTAGTTTGCTATGTGATTTGTTAAGTATCTCCTTCAGTATTCCAAAGAGACTACTTAACATGGGTGTCTTGATTTCTAGCTAACTTTTCCAGTCTCTTTTTTTTTGGTTGATGTGATTTTTCCCATAGAATAAAGAATACAATTATTTTCTCTTGAACCCATTTCTAGGTCTTGGTAAATTATGTTTATATCTTGCCTTAACGCTGGCCGATTGTTCCCCTCACTCCATCCATAGTGTAAGGCCACCAAATGTATCTGTAAGCACATTTAATTGCCTGATAGTGGTCTTCAGTTGGGTGAAATGAACAGGTTGCTTCAGAGGTAAGTGATTTGTGCATTTTTCAGGGTAAATCTTTGACACTGAATATGTTTTGATATATCCAGATGGTGTCAGCTCTTCAGTCTAATGTTGGCTTGGTTCTGGCCTGTTTTCCAGTGTCTTCATCACAAAAGTATTTTCATCATTAGTGCTTAGCAGAGACAAGCAAGAAGGGAGAGTGGAATGTCCTCTTAACTTCTTGAGCCATTCTGCATCAAGTATATCAACCAAGCTTGTAATGTCTGACATCTTGGTGACTTCTTAATCTATTTAAAGTCACTAAATTTCCTGAAAATAATTGAGTTTTGAAGTAGAACAAGGCTTAAGTCCTGGACACCAACATGCTTTAGTATTGACAGCTGTTACGTACACATTTATCCATTCTATTTACTGCATCTTGTTGCTGGTTTAGAAAACATACTACTGAAAACAGTTTAGCAAATATAAAACATAGATTGTCTTCATTAAAGCACAAGCCACCTTATTTCTTCCAAGGAATGCAAGAGTTCACCTTGTTTCATATGTTTCTATGAATGTTGTGTGTATCATCTTTGAGAGACCAAGAACTGTGTGATATCCTTCCCCAGAAGGAAATGGGGAGAAGGAAACCTCTGATGTCCTGTGTGGTTCTATCCAAGGCCTTCTGAAGTTAATGGAAGTATGTCCTTCAAGTTTCAGTGGTTGTGGCTCATGTCCTTGAAGTATGTCATGTACTGAAAAGCTGATTTTTGAATGTGTACTTAAAAAGTGAATTTACATGAATTCTGTGCTGTTTCTCACCCAGAATCTTTTTGCTGTATTCTGTAGCTCTTCTTCATGCACCTTCTGCCTAATTTTGCTGAATGCTGGTGGGATCAAGTCATTTTGGACATCCTGCTTTGTAACGGGGGTGGCATCTGGTTGGGCATGGTAGTTTGTCGTTTCTTGGAGATGAGGACCTATCACTGGGCAAGCTTCAAGTAGGTCTAAATTAAAGCTTGATAAGCATTATGTGTGATGTTACAATGTTAAATTGATTTCCTTGGGACGTAGACCACCTTCTTTGCATATGTAAAATGCACATGATATCGAAGTAGTGTGCAATCTGCCTGTGCTAACAATGCTGTAGTTTTAATTTAAATGTTAAATATCCATCTCATAGTAATGCTACTGTGAAACATATATTTGTAAGTATGACTGTATATATCATTTTCCTTTGCAATCTGAAGTTATAGGCATTGATGCCAATGGAAAATTTAAAGTAGTAAAGCTATTTGCATTTTCAATTTATTTTGTACACAAAACTTTGAGGAAGGCAGGGAGCAAAACAAGTTGTTACTGTTTTCTCATTATACATTTTGTTTTAAACTAGATTTGGGCTCACCTTGATGATGCATTAGTGTGGCAATCTGTCAGCACTAATTGTAATTCCAAAAGAGGTGTCAGGCTGATTGTACCTGTGCTGTGAATTCCATTACCCCATTGCTGGCCCTCTAAAATAAATGGAGTAATTGTTAAATAAAGAGGCATTTGTTGTGTGAAAGAGCGACAGCTTGTGACCTAGTAAGTGTCAGTTCCTAGCTGTCCCAGCATGGTTTCTTCCATAGTTTTTTGCCCCTCTCCTGCCTTCTTTCCTGCCACTTGGTGGCAAGCATGGTTGTCTGCATGCTACCAACAGTATAGATGAAACAGGGTCAAATACAATGAATTGCCTTGAGAGATGGAAAAGGAGCTCAAATCTTGACTTCCAAATTTGTACCCTACATGAATTTCTGTATTACTTTATCTTACTCACAAATTTGTTAATTGTTCTGAGTACCATCTAGCCTTTAGTATCAATTCAATTTTCCCGCATTTCTGTCAGAGTTGATGGCTCTTCTGTTTTGAGAGAGCTCGATGAAAGTTTAAACAGCAGAATATCTATGACATGACTGGTCTTTACTGTCTTTGTGGAGTATTTTTTCCTCACATTCTTTTAAATGCATGAGTATATATTTTTTTGATCTTTAATATGAAGGTGCTGCATGGAATGAGAAGTTTTTGCTTGTGCCCTTTTAATTTATTTTCTCTTTTTTTTCACTGAATAAACACAGATCTTGCAGTTTACAAGATTGTCCCTAACCTAAGGTCTCTCTTTTTTTGACCAGAAGGGCCAGATAAATAACAGGGTGAAAACTGCCTTCTAGCCCTGCTAGGATTCGTTCAGAAGAGGAGGCTCTGAGTTTTTCTTAGATTCCCTCTCCTTTGGATGCTGTTGCTCATGTGAATTATTGTTATCAAAAGCAAGAACCAGTAATACATCTGTCAGATGAGCCTCTGTAAAAATCCTCTTTCAAAAGGGAATTTAAAAGCTTGTAGCTTTAAGCAGTGCTATCACACCTCTCCAGGAGGTCCGCGTGCATCTAATATCAGAACAGCAGGGGCTATGTGTGCTGGAAGTGCAGTATTTTGACACTTGTGGAGCCAGACCCTTATACAGTTAATGAATAATGAATCTGACAGATTCTTGAAGGATTGATGTCAGCAAGCTCTAGACCCAGGAGTCTTTGGGATAAGAGTAGTGGCCACATAGAATAGGAAGAAATATCCTCTAGGTTTTCCAAGAGGGCTGCAGGTTTTAAATTTTTTCCTTTGTGGAGAGAATGAAAAATGTTTTGTAGTTACTGACTATGGGTAGATAAAGGTTGACTTTTATAGCAGAATAGGCACCTTGACTGAAATGCTTAATAGATTATATTACATAATTCACCCTTGCCTGGTACATAGTTGTGTCTGTGAAGATCTCTGCTGTCCAAAGAAAATGTGTTTGTTCTGAAACATCAGTAACATGACTGTTGCCTTTTTTTTTTTTTTTCCCATTTTTCCCCCTTTTCTTGCATATTCCTTGTATTTACTCCAGCCACTGTGTTGGTTTTTTTTAGGGACATTCACACAACCACAGGGAAAATCAAAAGAGCTGTATTACAGTTCACCCCGGCCAGCTGGACCTATGTCCGCTGGTTTGACCCAAAGTCTTCATTTCAGAGAGTGGCTGGAATCTACCTTTTCATGATCATTTGGCAGGTAAGAAATAAATTATGTGAAATCAAAGCTGCCATCAGCTCAGTTACTTGTTGGCCATGTCAGACTAATGCCATGTATGTGTGTCATTGAAATGCATAGTTAATGAATTAATAATGCAGAACTGGTCAGGGTATTGTTCACAGGAGTTACATGATAGTTCAGGAGTGTAATTACAGAATCACTGGAAAAAACCAAATTGCTGTGCAGATTTCTGTACTGGCCATCAGATTGCTCTTTGCAGTTGATACAAATGTAAAAACTGCTAGACAGTGGGGGGTCGGGGTGGTGGCTCTTTAATTTATTTGGGTTAGTTGTGTTGTTGGGGGGATATTTGTTTCATTTGGGTTTGTGGGGGGGTTTTGTGGCTTGGTTTTCTTTTGTTTGGTTTTTTTTTCTGGGTTTTTTTTTTGTTTGTTGGGGTGTTGAGTTTTTGTTGGTTGGTTGATTGAGTTGTTTCTTTCTTCTCCCATTGACTGTTGGAAGAATCAGTAATACTCAGAATTCTTGCCTTGATCCAGCAGGACTCCACAGTGCGTCTCAACTACTTTTGTACTTCATGCAAATAAAACTAAAACTTTTTACTTTGTTTTTTTTTAAAATTCTCCTTAGTTTTTAAAAGCAGTACCAGAAATGTTTGATATACTTTTTTTTTTTTTTTGCCTTGGTCATTCATACCTGATTTAGGATATGAAAGGTATCAGAAGACCTTTGCAGTGTGAATTAGTATCTAGTTCCTTAATGGGTTTCTGGAAAGAGAATAAATACTTTCATAGAGGTGTCTAGGGGAGAATTCTTTGTTTTGCTAGTATATTCCTTGCTTGTTCTAGAGCAGGAGTCTTAGACTCCTTAAATGTTCAATCTAACCAACAGGGCTATACTGGAGCATAAATACTTTTCCTTCCTTGTTGTAGTTTCCATATTAATCTTTGCACATTTACTGTACTAACTCAGTAAATTGAACACTATTTAACTAGCGTTTTTTTTTCCTCTCTAGCTGACTGAGTTGAACACATTCTTTTTGAAACATATCTTCGTGTTCCAAGCAAGCCACCCTTTAAGCTGGGGGAGAATTCTCTTCATAGGAATCATTACAGCACCCACTGTAAGGTAATGATTTTCCCATGGTGTTTTTCCTTTGGCTTAAAGTAGCTTAACTTCAAGTCACCCAAGAACTGCATGTAGTTGTATGAGTATGGCACATTTCAAGAAATTTTTATGCTTTTGCCACTATGAAAAGCAAAACAATCAACACTTTTCCATAAAGTATATTTTCTGACAAGGAAACTAATAAGGTAAAATGTATATAGGCAACTGTGTTTCCATAGGGATGCAGAACCAGTTTCTTCGATCTTCTGTTAGTGTAGCAACTCCCTGTTTTGTGAGTTAGCAGCATATGTTCTCTTTGAGGTCCGCACGTGAAAGTATCCAAGTTGATGAGTCAGGTGCTCACAGAAGTGTAGCTACATTCTTCTACACAATAGAGCTGTTGTTTTTTCTGACAGCTCCTTATTCTGTTTGTCTGCAGGAAATATTGGCATGTTATAAGATAGAGCAGTAGCATATAGTGCGAGCAGAACAGTACATATGCAACCTTAACAGCTATATGGAAATATTAGTTTGCTTTTAGTCATGCATGCTATTTCGTGTTGTTAGCAGAGTCTTTTTTTCTCCTGTGACATAGTTGGAGGTAGAAAGAATGCACACAAGTTAGAGGCAGAGAATTTCCCATTCATCAATAAAGTGGCGTTACCTTGGACAGTTCAGTGGCAGCCATGAATTGGTTTATTCCTAAAATACAGCTGTTATGTGCAGCGATTTCACACTATTAAATAAATCACATTAAACGTCCTATAAGCTATTGTATAGGTGCACTTTTAAATATTTATTTTTTTAATGGCACTTGCACATCTATACAAGACTTTATTCTTTATCAGTCCTTGTATTCTTGGATTAATAACACTTGTCTTCCCCACCTGTCAACAGAAATCAGAGACTGAGAAAAGGAGCTTTGGCTACACTTCTTGGGAATTCCCCTCTCTAAATTGTTAAAATTCCAGAGCATAAAGAACTGAGCAAGATGTCTCCAAAGGATGTTTTCAAAGTAGTGAGAAATTATACTCTGTTCTGGAGAGGAAAATATGCCAGTGGTTAGACCACTCAAACAGGATATGGAGTAGCCATATTTGGTTTCTTTCAAGAATCAATCCCACATCTCTCCAGAAAATGCAATTGTTATTAAAGACAAACTAGAGCAAGTAGGAGATTCTCTTAATTCTTTTGAAACTATTGTACTTTGCCTATAAGAATTGGAGGTTCAGTGGGGAGGCAGGAGACAAATTTGTATCTTTGTTAACCTACTAGTTTGGGTACTTTCCCAGTTCTTGCTCTCAGGATTGTTTTCTGTGTTGTTTCAAGCTATTTGATCTATGTGATAATCTATCCTACTAGAATTGAAGCCATCTGATAGACATCCAGCATGATTGCTTGTGAATTTATCCATCAGCACTTCATCTTCAGTATAGATATATCTGTAACATAAGGTTGTTTTGTAAATGTAAATACTCCTGGTACTTTCAACTTCACTGAAGAATTTTCTTGCTTCCCTTCTCAGGCAATACTATGCATACCTCACAGATACACAGTGCAAGAGGGTGGGAACTCAGTGCTGGGTGTTCGGGTAAGTGTTCTTGCTGCATTCTTGAAGCACTTGGACAAGTGTTAAGTGTAGGTACAGCACAGGAACAGGCTTTCCATGAAGCCAGTCCTTGTCTTGTGTTGGTTTTGGAATAAAGAACAGAGATATTTTTTAAAAGTTCTTTTTGCAAGTTCAGAGGAGAAGAAAATTCTGAATTTGGAGGCAGAACATGGGATGTGATAGAATGAGTAAGGAGAAGAACAGAAGGAAGAACTGGAAACTGCTGGATAAAGCTAGGCTCCTTCAAATTAACATTGTCCTTGCTGCCTGTATTCTCAGTGAGGTGAGAAGGATAAAACTTTTGCCTCTACCACTTGCCTGTTACAGGGGCAATATTTCCCTGACTGTCCAGGTGGGCATTGCTGCTGTTAGCAGAATCACAACAGAAGACAGTGAAACAAACCACCCCGATCAACTACTTCTATGGAAGATACTATGAACAATGGTTTCCTTGGCTACAATCTCTTTGTCTCATGGAGGAGACCTTTAATGCATGTGTCAGAGTAACCTGTCTTTCTGAGTTTGGTATGAATGGTGCTTTAGAGCTGAAGATAACTAGTTCATCACACAGTTAATTTACACAGACTTAATTTACTGTCAGAATCAAATAACCTCTCTCTGTTTGTGTATAAATATCTTAGCAGTTACAGATCAACCGTATTAATATTTTGCATATACAGACATGTTACTGAAATATGTGTTTAAATTATTTAGGAATTGAGATGTTTGTATGAAAAAGGATATTTTATCAACTATATATGGTAATTTTAGAGTCTTATAGAAGACACATTTCAAACAATTTTATTATTTTGGAGGAAGAATTTTCAAGTTCTGCATTATGAAGAAAGGAAGATGAACTTTTGTTTCATACAAGACAAAGAATGTAAACATACTCTTTTGCAAAATGAAGGTAGATGTGATACTGAATGTTTGCCTTTTGGTTCTAAAAAAATTCAGGATTACAGAAACCATCATCTCTGGTTCAAAGCTCTTACCGCACGCATTAATGTCATATGTGTCAATAGATAGATGCCCAAATACATACGATTATGTGACAAGAACTGCACTAGAATGTTCACCTACAGTTAGATCTAATCATGGGAAATAGGCATGGAATAAGTATTTTCCATGATACTGCTTACTTTTGTAATCTACCAGAAAAAACAGAGCAACACTAGGAGTTTCTGTTGTTTGCTGAAAAAGCAGAAATCTTCCAGGAATTTAACTATCTAGATGATAATTTCTGAAGCAATTCAAAGCAAGTATATAGAATCATAGAATTTAAGGGTTGGAATGGACCTTACAGGTCATCTAGTCCTAACCCTCCCTGCCATGGGCAGGGACACCACCTCACTAGATCAGGATGCTCAAGGCCTCATCCAGCCTGGCCTTGAACACTGCCAGGCTTGGGGCAGCCACAATGTCCCTGGGCAACCTGTTCCAATATTCATATATGTCACGGATGAGACACACTTCTAAAGGCACAAAGTGAATTCTTAACAGTTAACCATGGGAATAATTAAAATTAGTGCCTTTCATTCGTATGGAAGTGTGTTCTTTGCAACTTGACATATATTGAAGCATCACTCTCGATACATGTACAGTAGGTGATGTAAGGCATGAGCAAGGCCAGTGCAACAGCCCTGCTGAAACTGCTCCATTTTCATTAAGATGAAACCTTTCAAAAAGGAATATCTGTTAGGATGTTACAAGACCATTTTGACTGAATAAAAACTTAGTGTCCTTAGTTCTATCAAGTATTCCCATCATCCCTCAGTAGGACACTAACACTTTTCACTGTTAGCGTTCTTCTATCTTTTGATTTACCACTTCATAAACTGTAATAGTTGTCCTATTGTAAAATGTACTTAACCCAAGAGTTCTTGACAAGAATAACGGTGTATAAATGCAGCACACACAGCTGTATTGTTTTTTGAATCCTTATTGAAAATCACTTGATTGTTTTGTTTATACCTTTGAGAATATCATAACCCCACGTTTGTTTCCTGATGGTGATATTTCAGTTCCCACTGCTGTAGTTTGGTTTAGTGATTATTTTTTTTAAATCTGCAGCTGGATCAGTAAAAGTAATATAAAATAAAGAGGAAAAATAGTTGGTGACCCAACAGAGTAGCACTGCTCTCAATTTTTTACTAATATGTACCTCATTAATTTGTAATATTGGTCAATTGGGTGTGTGTTTTGGCCCCACTCATCATGCTGCAAGTCACATTAAATAGTATAGGCAAAGCTATAATTTATTATTTGCACCAGGACCATCTCTGACTTAACCAGTGGTTAAGTCAAGCACATGTCTTTCCTCACTCTGTCATGAGGAAAACTGGGTCTTCTCCGACAGGTAGTAGAGCCATTCTTGATAACTCCTGGGTTATGGACAGTGCTGGTAGGGAATGTGCCCTGCAGTGTCAGGCTTGGGAGACTGGAACATGTGACCTGATCTTAAGTGAGGTCACATACGTGAGGAGGAGTTTTCCTGCAATGCTCACATGTGCAGCCTTGAAATTGCTATTGAACAAGTTAAGTATTAAACTTTTATAAATTTAATACTGTTTTTCATTATTTGCTTCAGATTGAGATGAATCAGTTTTCTACACTTTTTCCTGCATGAATCACATTTCTACACTTGGATTTGTTAAACGCATGTAATTTTTTTAGGACCTATACAAACTAAGTTTATTTCCATGGCAGGTGATGGAAGCTTTGGATTCATAACCACTTGTTTCACACCAAGTGGTGGACAAGCTTTCATAGCTTTGAACCTGAAAAGAAGTAAACACCTGGTAGTGGGGAGAGAGCTGCAGATACTTTTTTGATTGTTTTAATGCCAGAGAGGAAAGTAAAAACTGCAGTTTTCTTCTCACATTTCTCCCAAAGTCCTCTGATGCTGTAGTGTGGACCTGAGTTTACAGATTACCCAGAGCAAATGTGTGGATTCTTCGAGAATTTGAAATGCTGTTTCATGTGTATTTTCTCACCAAAAACATGTGAAGCAAGCAAAGTAGCCCATTCAGAATGTTAGTAAATTTACAACCAGTAGAGAAATACACAAAACACAGTTCTAGTTCATCCATCGAGAGTCTGCTGGATATTTTGTGTGGAAAATAAACTTATACCTGGTGAAAGCTAAAGCACAATGTGTACAAACAAAAATTCTTTGCTGTTGGCACACACTCCTGCTTGTTCCCTGGAGCCCCACAGAATGGTGAACTGCCAGTCAATCACTTTTTGTGTGCTGTTTATGCTGAAAAAAGTATAGAAAGAAAAATAAATTTCCCAAAGAATTTCAGTTAATGGTGGTGTCAGGGAGGTGTGTGCTCACTAGAGGGTAGTGCCTGTTTGGTGCTGACTGTCTGGGGACTGGGTTGTGAACATGGGAGTTAAATCATTGGTGTTTGTAACTACTTTCCCTCTCATTTACTCACAGGGTTATTGCTTTCCTCGAAGCTATTGTGTGCATAAAGTTTGGACAAGATCTTTTTTCCAAAACACAAATACTATATGTTGTGTTTTGGCTTCTCTGTGTGGTAAGTAAGATTTCTCATGTGAAACATAAAGTGCGACAAAAACACTGAAAGCATCTAAATAGCTTCCTCTCTGGAACATTGGCAGCAGGGGAGCACTGTGGGGGAATGCTGGTAAAGAGCTTTGTGCATGTCTTAGGAAAAGCAAATGCTACATTGTTTAGAACTCACTTTGAAGGGACTAGAATAACTTTTTTCTTGTTTCTTGACACAGCAGAATAGAACCACTTTACTGGTGCATAACAATGAAGCAAACACTAGTGTAGGGTGTTTTATCTATCTTTGAGAGAGAATGCCAGTTCAGTTGAGCCTAACTTGGTGGTATTTGCTGTAGTGTCTGCCTGCTGAAATGAACAGGAATTAATGGCTAGTGTTAATACGGAATGCATGTTATGTCACACTCAAGTCTTACAACTACATAAACAAGCCTACTTTATCAGGCAAGTCATTCTCAGCCTGTAACTTTCTGTACTTCAGTGTGATTACTGCAAATGCAGCATGAAATGCCCATTTTATAACAGTAAATGGACGTTTGTCTTGCCAGACTTGTTGCTGTGATGCCAAACACATTTTTCATGGTCAGTGAAAAATAAGGCATTTATAATGGGCTGACAGATAAATACTTCTCCCTTCTAGTTGGGAATGCAGTTTGAACAGGTGATGGGGAGTCAGAATTTATTGTTCTCTTATTTAGCATGATGATTTTATTCCTGTAACTGCAGAGGAGAAAAATACTGAATTGCTTCCCGGATCAGAGAACCACAAAGGTAAACATGTAACTAGCCTGAGGCATGGGGCAGGGAGAAGGAAAGTTCGTTTTTCTCCCAGACTGGTTTTTCCTAATAATATCCCTACAAGCGCCTACCAGCTGCCTTTGTATGATGACTGTACAGGGTATGGACAGAAATCATGCTAACTGCAGAGGAGAAAAATACTGAATTGCTTCCCGGATCAGAGAACCACAAAGGTAAACATGTAACTAGCCTGAGGCATGGGGCAGGGAGAAGGAAAGTTCGTTTTTCTCCCAGACTGGTTTTTCCTAATAATATCCCTACAAGCGCCTACCAGCTGCCTTTGTATGATGACTGTACAGGGTATGGACAGAAATCATGCTGTGAGTGAGCTGATTTTCATGTTTGAGAACTGGTCTGCATACCCCATGGTGGCAGAATCTGTGTGCTTTAAGTTGAAGCACGAGCCTTACTCATCCTGACAAAAGATGCAGGGAGAAACAGAGCATGAAAATCTGAATGCGAAATCTCCAGGGACTCTGCGACCTTGAGCCAGTAAGGAATTTGAAAAAAGTTTTACAGATTTTTTTTTTTTCTTCTCCTCCCTTGTTTAGGCTTTTACGACTTTCCTGTGTTTATATGGGATGGTTTGGTACGCAGAGTACTACGGCCACCGAGAAAAGGTACTTAAATAAAAAATGCCTGTTTTTTTTTATACTAGAGTTAAAACTGCAAAGCTCCTAGATATTAGAATTCTTTACGAGAGCTAGTATAAATGGGGATGAGGGGGGATGGTCCAGAGCCTAACTGAAGTCAATAGAAAGAACTCTGAATTCAGCAGGCCTTGGACAGATCCCAAATTACACTGTGGTTTCTAAAGAATGCTGTCCTCTTAGTTACTCAAAATGAGGCTGTAATTTTAGCAGAGCATTCAGGGATGAATGGTTAGCTAATGTTCCTATTGTACAGGTGGAATGCTAGGGGAATATTAAGAATACTTGGTTACACAACAGATCACGTGTCAAGTGGTGAGTTCTTATTGTTTCATCTATGTTGTACCTTCTAATTAGAAAAGGAAAAGTCATAAGGACTGCCTGAATGTTTTATCAGGGCTTCTGCAGTTTAAGTTTAGAAGTTCAATTACAAATGGGAGAACTACTGATCACAAGAACCACCAACATGCCAATGACATGTGTCCTTGTTTTTGCAGACCTTATCAGAAAGTGAAGACAGCCCATACAGTCCAGATGCTTCCTGGCTTCATTCTAAATTCAGCAGAGGTATTGGCACTTTTGTAGCTGTATTCTTGAAATGGCAACATCATCTGCAAAGCTATTGTGCTTTAATGCCTTTTTTTCATTCTAACTCTTGGAAATGTTTTTATTTTTTAACGAGTCGACTGAATTTTTCTCCTGTTACTCCAGGCTATTCTTGTCGGTTTAGGGCATTATGCATTTCGTAACTATTGTGGACAGGTTTTCTTGCTGAACATTGCGTGTTTGATTTGAAACACATGAATGTGAATTGTGCTTTTTATTTATGCTTGTTAAGTAGTAAGTCAAGAATGTGCCCTGGAGCTTGTGTTCTTACTGACACTTGGCTAGTCAGTACAGTGCTGGTGGTCATAAGCAGCTTTCTCTGTACTAAGCTAAGGCAGCTTCCTTCTTTCTCCATACACTAGAGGTCAGTTAAGTTATCTGCCTCCTCCATTGGCTCTTTAGTGTGATCTTGCTTATTGAACAAATATCAAGATTCACATCTGGAAGTTATCTCTGTCAGAGTTTATGTTCCAGGTGTTTGTATCATTAAAAATACTTCTAATTTATCATATGCTTGGAAAACACCTACAGAAGAGCTTATTTGTACTTCATACATGAATTTTCTGGATGTTTTTTCTCAGCCTAGTAAATCTCTGGATTTTTATATTTTGTTGCAAAATCACTTGGCCTTAGAATGTTTTTCCCATTTACGTAAGCTGGAGAAATCTGGCTGAGGAAGTCTTTATCTGACTTCCTGTTACTTTGTTAATTTCATTCGTGTAACTTCATTACAAACTTCAGGCTCTTTCAGAGTTTGTTCTGAATTATTTGTCTTGGTCCCCACTGTCTCCCTCTGTTTTGTCAGAGTCAAACATGGTCTGTCATAGGAAAGACTGAAATCTAGAAAAGAACTCTCACAAGGATCTGTGACCTTGCTTCCATAGTTCTTGATTCCTGATAGTAGTACGTGCCACTAAGAAAAATGCGGATGTTTAATTATTGATGTGACTTAAAATGAAAGATGTTTCAGTACTAGATTCTACTATAGCAAATTTCTGATTTATTTTTTTTTCGAGGAGGAAGAATTTTACAGGAGTCTTAAGAATTGCTTTTTAAAATAAAGTAGGCCACTAGATGGAGTACAAGTATCAACCAGTTTGTATTAGCCTGAAACAATCCGTACTGTAAACACTATAGCTCTAAAAAGCCTTACTGTCTTTTGGACAAGAGCTTGACAATGTCAAATATACATATATTTTAAATATATATATATATATAATAAAAAACCC